ATTGAAGACTGCTAGGATTAAGTCCCAAACTCTCTCTCCAAGGGAGCCACCATGGTACCAAAAATATTCAATGACCCTTGTTAAAGATGGTAATACATTCTTTTTGCAGGACCATCAGGTAGGATGGAATGGAATTTTACAGTGGAGGAAAAAGATTGGGCTCAGCTCCAAATTCAGCAGGGACAAGTGGTATTTTATTACCAAGCAGCAGGGTGGAAGTCAGTGAACAAAAGCACTAAGAGGAAACATCAGGAGTAAGGGGAAATCTGACAAGGGATTTTTGCTGAATGAAGACAGGTCAAGGTGATCAGACATGATACAGGTAATAGTGGAGGATGAGGAACCTGGTCAGACATTGAGGCTATTGGATAGTGAGGGGGGTGTGGGGATTCTGGTTAAACTGATTTAACAAGGTTCCTGGTAAAATGAAATTTTATAAGTAAGTACACAGATGGGCCTAGGAAATCCTCATGACCCTGGCTAATGTTAGATCAAACAAAGAATCTTTGTCAGTTTTGAGAGGCAACATTTCTGTCAATAGCTTAGGAGAAAGAGCACTTGTACTTTAATCATTAACTCTTTTTTTTTAAGAGCTTTATTGAAGTATAATTGATATACAAAGAACTGAACATATTTAATGAGTACAATTTGATGAGTTCAAACAAACCCAAACCCCTGTGATTCCATCACCACAATCAAGGTAACAGACGTATCCAATACTTCCTAAAGTTTCCCTGTGTCCCTTTGTTTTATGTTTGATTTTTGTGTGTGTGTGTGTGGTCAGACAACTTAATATGAGGTCTGTACTTTCAACAAAATTTGAAGAGCACAATACTACATTTTGAACTAGGCACTATGCTGAAGATTTGGAAACAATCCAAGTATCCATCAATAGACAAAAGATGTAAGTGGTATATACATGGGTTTCCCAGGTGACACATTGGTAAGGAATACATCTGTCAATACAGGAGCCCACCAAGCTCCTCTGCCCATGTGATTTCCCAGGCAAGAATACCGAAGTGGGGTTGCCACTTCCTTCTCTATGGGGACTTGCCAGCCCAGGGATTGAACACACGTCTCCTGAATTGGCAGGCAGATTATTTTACTGCTGATCTACCATTTTATAGAAGTGCCAAAAGTGGACATCCTTACCTTGTTCCTGATGTTAGAGGACAGGTTTTCCATCTTTTACCACTGAATATGATGTTCACTGTGGGTTTTCATATATTTTATGTTGTGACAGTTTTCTTCTATTTCTAGTTGTTTTTAGTATCATGTGAGGATTTTGAATTTTGTTGTATATTTCTTCTGCAGCAATTGAGATGATCGTGTGGTTTTTCTCCTTTTATTTGGTTAATATGGTATATTATTTTGATCAATTTTTTGTATTGAACCGTCCTTTTAATTTAAGAGTAAATCCTACTTGATCATGTTGTATAATCCTTTTAATATGCTACTGGCTTCTATTCACTAGTTTTGAGGATTTTTGAATCAGTTTCCAGGAGATTTTGGTCTGCAGTGGTCTTGTAGTGCCTTTGGTGTTGGTATTAAGGCAATATTAATCATCCTTTGCCCAGTTTTGTGGAGTTTTACTTTATACATGCACTATTTAACAATCAGAAAATGTTCAAGGTGCTTTGAAGATTTCAGTAGCTCTTTTCCTTCATGAATCCCTTCTTCCTAGAATTCAGCCTTACTTTTTCCTTCCACCTTACCTTCCTGAAATCTATTATATCATCTCAACTCAGCTAGGCCTTTTGTTTCTTTTCTCTGTTCCTCTGACAGTAATAAAAAACTTGCCTCCCAGAAGCCTAGGTGATTTAGAACTTGCCTCATTGATTTTATTGTGCCTGTTTCCACGATTTAAAAAAAAAATCCATTTCTTAAAATTTATTTTATGTATTTTATTTCTTTTTCTTCTTTAATCATTGTTTATTAATGTTAGGTCCTATCTTTGTTACTTCATCATAGCCGGAATCAGAAGTTCCACCCAATGTTTGGGTTTCTTAGGCCAAGTAAATAGCAGGTGAGGAAAGTTGCCACTATCTTGACAGGGGTAATTTATGCTTATCATCAGGAAGAGGTATACAAGGAGGGAGGGAAGACTATGTTTGTTTACAGCATCAGTTAATCTCAGCTGGTCTGGATTGACTGAATGCTTATCTCCAGAGCTATTGACCCTTGGTAAATAATGTAGAATCCATCAACTGAAGATAAATGGTGTTCTGAAACCATGGGTCTGTAAGTTGTTACAAAGCAAGAAGTATCAGTCTGTCTTCATTGCTCAGGAATGATAATCTTATTTAAGATTAGCACCAGATTTTGGTCGGGGGAGGGAGTAGGTAATGTCAGGGTTCAAAGCCTAAGTCTAGTCACATAGCTGGAATAGATTTATGTGCACAGTTCAATATGAGACCCCCACCATAGGTAGATTTGGGGCTTTCTAGCCCTGGAATGCTTCTCAGTGGTGATCTGAGATCTGGAGACAATGCATATTCTGTGTGAGGCTACCCTACAGGTAGACCAAGAAGCCCACTTCTAGGAATTCCAAACTCTTTTCAGTGCATGTTCTTCTTCTTTTGTTACTGGATTATGTCCTTTGTAATAAAGCCATTTTTAATAAACTAAGTCTTCTGAGTCATTTCAACAAACACTTAAGGTTCTTAGTATATAATTTACATAGTTTGGCATCCAGATAATCCATTAGAGCTTCATTTGTTACTCCATTTCTCAATTTAAAAAATTTTATTGAAATACCATTTATATACAATAAAATGCACCTTTTACAAATATAGTGTGAGGCATTTTTCAAAATCTCTATCTTGTAGTCATGACCACATTCAAGGTATAGAACCTTTCCATGACCTCCAAAAGTTCCTTCTTGCTGCTTGACACCCAACTTGCCAAATATTAATAGCAAATGGTAAGATATAGCATTCATCACTTGAGAAGGTTGTGGTAATAAATGTCTTATATATCTCAGGGATCAGAAGCTCAGTCATCACATTAGTTGAGCTACATAGGCTCACAGAAATGCTGTGAGAGGAATAGCTGAAAGGTTGAGGAATCTAGAATAAGTTACAGAAGAGGCAGATGGTGTTAGTTGTGGCCTTAAGATCAGCTATAAGCTCACTAGGAAAAGAAATACAGCATGCAGACTTCTAGATTAATTTACTATTGAGTGCACATGGATCATGCAGTGCATGGGGTGGTATATAGCAGATGCTCTGGTGGGCCCTCCAGATCTCCTTCAAGACTGAGTCACCCATTCCCAAGTTGCCAGTGATTACAATTTCTCAGATAAGTGCCTTCATGGGAATTGTCCTCAACCAAAGCAAACAAAAGCTCCCTTGTCACAGGTCATGCATCCTTTTCAGGTTCAAGGAAAGTTTGTACCAATGACTGTCCTTGTAGTTGTATGAGGGTCTACAACTCCCAACCTCACCTCATGGTGGAGCAACCCTAATGGACCATCCCAGCTTCCTGTGGTACCAACCTTCATTGTTGCTCCATCACAGTTCAACAACTGTTCTTGCTAAATCCTACTTCACTCACTTGACTGTTGGTGTTGATCCCAAGTATATAATCCAATTAAACTTTCTATATCCAATTCCACATTTTAGAGACAGTTTCCCAGGATCCTCTTCTAAGAAAAGAATTTTATTATATGTTTCCCACAAAGGGAAATCCCCCAATGTCTAACAGAAAGATAATTACACTTGCTAGTAATCAGATAAAGATGACCCAAATAAATTGAGCAATACCCATAATCATTGATCAGAAGTCTCAATATGTCAATTACCTTTAATCAAAATCCAACATTTTTTTTAATGGAAAATTACTAGGTAATCCTAAAGTTTATGTGGATGAAAGAATAGAAAATTTTGAATCCTTGTGAAACTTTCCTCTGGTCCAAAAACAGATTAGCCCAGTCTGCATACACAGTGGGAAGAAATATTTACTGAACTTCCAAGTGTCAGAGATATAGAGGAAAAAGTCTAGATGGCCCTCATTTCCAAACCCTCCTTTTGGTAGCTCAGCAGAAATGGCTCAGAAGGTCTGAGTTAGCTCAAGAAAGCAGGCCAAGACTAGTCAGGACTTCCCAGGTGGCACTAATGGTAAAGAACCCACCTGCCAATGCATGAAATATTCACAGACTTGTTACATATTTGGGTTTGACCCTTGGGTCGGGAAGATTCCCTGGAGGAGGGAACCCACTTCAGTATTCTTGCCTGGAGAATGCCATGGACAGAGAAGCATAGCAGACTACAGTCCACAGTGTCGCACAGAGTCAGACACGACAGAAGCAACTGAGCACGCATACAAGACTAAAGTCACATGAATGCTTCCTACTTCTCATGTCTTAGAAGTAGAGCATTACAGCAGAGAATTACAGAAGGAACACTATCCATGCTGCCTTCAGTTCAGCAGTGCCTGGCCTCAGAACAGCTTTCTATGAAAAAGGGAGAAATAGAGGTTTGTCCATGGTCCTGTACTAATCAGCTTGTAGGTTCTGTCCTCCATAAGCCTCATTGTATAGCTGTACTTTGTGGCACTAGTGACCTAGGTTCATGTCCTTTTTAGAACACTATCATTAAAGTCCCTTATGGACCAGATAACTTCTAGCACAGACTGTCTAAGCTTTCTCTAGGCTCCTCTTAATTTAAAAATTCCATTGTTTCATTATTAAAAACAGCTTTGAAAATTATTTTTCCAGTGTTTGTCTTGTGCCCTTCTCTAAATTGAATGTAGTATGATTTTCAGCAGGAAAACAGAACAGTTGTAGGGAAGAATAGATAGTATTCGGTAGCGCTGGATGAGTAAGAGGGAATTTTAAATTGTGCTTACATAGGTAACTTGCATGGCATATGTTTGTTAATAAGAGAAAGAATTCCCCTTAAGATTTCCCCACAATTCTCATGATGTGAAGGAAAAATCCAGGGGAATATACATAAAGACTGATGAGCTCAGATGTCATTTCAGGCTAAGGCATGTTGTCAGTACATGTCTCTTGAAAAGATAACACGAGTTCTACCAGGTGATGCAAGGTACAGCTGCAAATGGTTTTGAGATCTTATATTACAGACAATAGGCACCTTGCTATTGTCTCTATGAAAGGATATTGATTTCAATTTAGAATAAAAACAAGTTCAGCTGGCAGGCAATAGGTGAATGCTCTGGTACACAGGACCCACTTTATAGTATCTCATGTGGCAGCATGGCTGATTCACCCTTGGACATTGAGACAACTTAATGAAGGACCTGAAAAGAAATTTCTTCTGGATTCTGGAGCTCAAGTAAGTGACCAGATTGTGAAAGATAGATATGGATAAGGCTATATTCCACCTCCTTAAACATGGTGTTAGGGGTTCTTTTAGCTCTAATTTTCTGTAGTATTTTGCCAATCTTTTCATCACAGACAAGTGGTACTTGTGGATTTGAAAAAGTAACAGATTGTGAGGTGTTTCAAAAGAGAAGATCTAGGGACTTCCCGGTTAAGAGTCTGCCTTCTACTGCAGGGGATACTGTTCCATCCCTGGTCAGGGAACTAAGATTCCACATGCCATGGGGCAAATAAAACCCATGAGCGACAGTGAAGATCCAACACAGCTGAAAAAAAAAAAAAAGGAAGATCTGCTTTCATACTTCATTTTTCAACTGCTGACAATTAAAGACCGATCCTATCTGTCCTGGGTCCCAGAAATGGAACCCCTTCCCTAGCCTCTTCTTTTAAAGACATCAAAAAAGCTTACAGTGATGCCAGTGCTTTAGATGCTATGGTAGGTATCCCCAGTGACGAAGAATCCTTTCCTTAAGTATAGGTGGTATTGTTATTAAATGTAAGTACCCCATAAAAGAGTATTACTAGTTTTAATTGTATTTGTAAAAGTAGATTAAAAAATTTAATGAGGTATAATTGAAATATAATAAATTGAATACTTTTAAAATGAATGTGTATAATTTTCTGTCTGGTTTCTTTAACTCAGCACTATCCTTTCAAAATTCACACACATGTAAAAATGATTCATTCCTTTTTATTACTGAGTTAATTACATCATATAGACATATCAAAACTTGCTTATCCATTTATCTGTAAGTAAAATTTTGAGCTATTTTCAGCTATTGAGTTTCACAAATAAAAATACCATGAATATTTGTTATAAGTCTGAACATGTGCCTTTATTTCTTTTGTAGCTTGTTTTTAAAAATGATTAATTATCTTTCATAAATTCAAAATTTAATGATTCTAAATAGGAATGAGAGGTAGTGGAGGGAAATATCAAAATAACTATGAGTCATTTAGAGATTACATTCCTTTGGAAATTGTAATCTGCTTTTCTGGGTGCTATGCCAACCCATTGCCTAATTTTATCCATTGATGTGAACTGTTTAAAGACTAGCATTGCTGATAATCATTTGTCATATCTATCAGATATGTACAATAATAAAATTTAAAGCACAATTACTTAAAATATTTTCACATGGGCTTTATAAAGTACAAATAGGACTTTTTTATTTCTTTTCAATAGTAGCTAAATTGTGTTTAGTTTCAATAGCAGACAGATTTTGTTTCCCATGACCAGAGGAACTTCTTACTTCAGCTCTTGACTCATTTTTTTAGCACACAGTTATGATGTGAATACAGTCTTACATTTCCCTTAAAGATATATAAATATTTGAACCCTTTTTTTCTTGTTATTATCTCATGTTTGTTTGGTTTTTTTTACTTACTGACTTCGTAATCCAACTCACGTGTTTCTTACTATGAGTTATAGGAGAGTTGCCAGATAAAATACAAGATACCTAGTTAATATTTCAGCACTCTTTCTTTTTTATAAATAATATACAAAATTGTTGACAAGCTATCTTAGTTCTATCATAATTTGATCTCATCTTAATTGTTCAAGGACATAAATCCAGAAAAGACTCTCCTTATTTTATCATGCATATTTAAGCATTCATGCTTTTGAGATTGCCATTTTTTATTCCCTCCCCTGATTTATTCACTTAGGATTTTTTTTTTTTCTGCTCCATTTGTTACACGCACCATAGGAAATGCTCATCTAGTCAGTTAGATCATAAAGTGAAAGAGAGAAAAAGCAGAGTGTGAATTCATGGGAAAGAGGGATTAACAAGGCCTCTCCTGATAAGAACCAAGTGGGGAGAGATGGTAAAATTCAGACATTTGCCTGAATACTGAGATGGGTTATACTATGAAAGGAGTCCCAAGTTGTACCTATCGATGATCTTGATTTAATTTTGAGTATCCTGACATTTCCTGCCTCATATCTCATAGTCTATGACTTTTTACTTGTCTCTTTTTCCAGGCATGATGAAGCTTAAATCCTCTTCTTTTTCTGGGTCCTGTGTGAGCTTTCTTCTACAAGTGATGATATCAACTTCAGGTAAGAACATCCACTCTCTTCTTACTGAGTCACAGCTGTGGAAAGAACCTAGAGCAGGTTTACAGTGTCCATTCTAGCATGTAAGGAGCTTGGAAGTCATTACTGTGGCCTACTATCAAGTAAAAAACTGAAAAAACTGAAAGTCAACAACTCTTCCTAGATTCAACAGAGAATTGAGATAATAGGACAAATAGCTCCTTCCCAAATTAGAGAGATACATAAGTGGATACTGAAGTGAAAGTCACTCGTCATGTCCAACTCGTTGCCACCCCATGGACTGTACAGTCTATGGAATTCTCCAGGCCAGAATATTGGAGTGGGTAGCAGTTCCCTTCTCCAGGGGATCTTCCCAACCCAGGGATCAAACCCAGGTCTCCCACATTGCAGGCATATTCTTTACCAGCTGAGCCACAAGGGAAGCCCAAGAATACTGGAGTGGGTAGCCTATCCCTTCTCCAGGGAATCTTCCTGACCCAGGAATCAAAACAGGAACTCCTGCATTGCAGGTAGATTTTTTACCAACTGAGCTATCAGGGAAGCCCTAAGTAGACAGAGAGACTCACAACTTCCCAGGCCATAAGTCTTTGCGGAAACCAGTACAAGGGTAGGAAAACCTAAACCATAATAACTGAATTGCTATAGGCTCAGTGTGGGCAAGTCTGAAAGTTAAAAACTCCAAGAGGGCCCAATCATGAGAAAGCTCACTTTTGTGAATTTTACCTCCGTGGTTTTTACTAGGCTCTCACAGGGAATTTGGGGGGAAATGCCATTGTATTTCTAGCAGGGGGAGGGGAAGAGCAACTACTTTGAAATATGCTCTCCTTAGTAAGGCTTGCCCTCAAGAGACAATATTTTACCAGAACCTAACCTATTGGTATTTTCTCAGAGTCTAACTTCCCTGGGGGCAGGAAAACATCCAACTCCTGGCCGCTGTATCCTTTGTGTCCCATTAAGGAGGGATATGGTTTCCCTGGTGGCTCATGAGTGAAAAATCTGCCTGCAATGCAGGAGACACAGGAGAAATGAGTTTGATCCATCCTCCCTGGAGGGGGCCATGGCAACCCATTTCAGTCTTCTTGCTGGGGGAATACTATGGACAGAGGAGCCTAGCAGGCTGCAGTCCAAGGGGCTGTACAGAGTCAGGCAAGACTGAAGGGACTGAGCACACACACGCAGCAAGGAGGGATACCACTGAGAAGCGCTTATGAAGCTCAGAGTCAGGGACACAGGCTCGCTAAAAGACTGAAATCTAATCACAGAACAAGGATATCTCCCCTACTGCTAACTTACCACTAACTCACTAAATGCCTTTAATCAAAGTTTTTGCTCCCAGTGCATCATGTGTGGCTTCCAACAAAAAATTACAAAGCATACTAGAAGGCAAAACATCAGGTGGAAGGGTTAGAGCAAAGTATCAAAATAAGAAATTGATATGGCAGGATTGTTGGAATTGTCAGATTAGATTAAAATAACTGTGGCTAATATGCTAAAGGTTCTAATGGGAAAGTAGATGACATGCAGGAACAGATAAGCAATGCAAGCAAAGAGATGTAAATTCTAAGAAAGAATCAGAAAGAAGTCATAGGGATTAAAAACACTAACAGAAATGAAGAATTCCTTTCATGGGCTCATTAGTAGCCTGGACATGGCTGAGGAAAGAATCTTTGAGCTTGAGGATTATCAGCAGAAACTTTCAAAATTGAAAACCAGGCAAAGAGTAAAAAAAAAAATGGAAGAGAAAAATCTAAAAACTGTGGGACAACTAAAAATATAAAATGGAATCCTGGTACGAAAAGAAAAAGAGAAACAAATAGAAGAAATATTTGAAACAATAATGACTGAGAGTTACACACTTTAAATACACAATTTTTTGTTATTCAGTTCAGTCACTCAGTCATGTTCAACTCTTTGTGACTCCATGGACTGCAGCTTGCCAGGGCTCCCTGTCCATCACCAATTCCTGGAGATTGCTCAAACTCATGTTCATCGAGTTGGTGATGCCATCCAACCATCTCATCCTCTGTTGTCCCCTTCTCCTCCTGCCTCCAATCTTTCCCAGCATCAGGGTTTTTCTAATGAATTGACTCGTCACATTAGGTGGCCAATGTATTGGAACTTCAGCTTTGGCATCAGTCCTTCTAATGAATATTTAGGACTGATTCTTCAATAAAGCTGGGGAGAAAGCCTATTTTGCATGATATTAGTATAGCAAGACTTGTTCTGTTTTGGTTACTATTTGCATTTAATAACTTTTTCAATCCTTTTACTTTCAACTTATTCAAGTCTTTGGATCTAAAGTGAGCCTTTTGCAGACAATATATAGTTGTATCATGTGTTTTTATACCTTCTGCCAATTCTGTCTGCTGATTGGAGAGTTTAGTCCATTTACATTTAAAGTAATGAATTTCTTCTGGTATTTTTATTCTTGTATATTTTATAGCTTTTTGCCACTCATTTCCTTCATTACCTACTTCTTCTGTGTCTAGTTGATTTTTTTGTAGTGAAATGTTTAGAAAGGGATATAGTCATAGCTGGACATATAGAATGGCCAGGTCGGATGATAAGAACTAGTATATCCTACAATGTGTAGCAACAAAGAAGTTGTTGGCCTCACATGTATCCTGGTTTTCCATCTTCTTCCACAGAAAACTGGACAGTCACCATTCCCACGAGACACTTGGTGGCTGCAGTAGGAGGACACGCTGAGCTCAGCTGCCAGTTGTCCCCGCCACGAAGCGCAGAGCATATGGAGGTGCGCTGGTTCAGAGGGGACGATTCCAAACTCGTTCACCTATACAGAGATGGCCATGGAGTGAGTGAAGAAGCTGCCCCAGAATATGTGAATCGCACAGAGTTTGTGAAAGAGGCCATTAGAGAGGGCAAAGTGACTCTCAGACTTCATAATATCAGTGTTTCTGATGATGGATCATATCAGTGTTCATTTAAAGGTAGTGGCATTAATGATGTGGCCAGCATGAATCTGAGCATAGCAGGTAAGTTTCATGGTGGAATGTTGCATACCAATACCCTTGTGACCCTGTAAGCTGAAATATATGAAAATATATCAATGTTTCTTTTTATTTTTTCACATTTTCAAACATGTTTCAAATACTATAATAAGAAAAATCTGTTTATCTAATGCAAGAATATACTATGCAGTGGACAGACAATGAAGAGTGATCAGAATTTGCCCAGTTTGTAATTTGGACGTGAATCTGAGTATTGCCTCTTCTTCTGTTGAAGATCACAAGGTTAATGAGACTCTTTTCAGATTTCCAATCCAATCTCAAAGCAACAACTGTCTTGATCTTTCTGTCCCATTCTCCCCAGCATTAGGCTTGGAAACACAAATCCATGTTCAGGCGCCTGGCACTGAGGGGCTCGTGGTGGACTGTAACTCAGGAGGGTGGTTCCCAAAGCCCCAGATGGAATGCAGAGACGGCAGAGGAGAAAGAGTTCCACATTCATCAAAGTCCTATTCACAGGACGGAGCCAGATTGTTTCACGTGAAGACGACTCTTGTCCTTAGAAACCAGTCATGGGGCAACATGACTTGCTACATCCGCAATCCTCTAACAGGTGAAGAGAAACGAACAAATATCATCCTGGCTGGTGAGTGCTTGTCAGAGGTTCGTTGTCAGTATATCAACATAAAGAAAAATTAATAGGATAATTTGAGTCATGAAAAAATGTTTTCATCTCCTGAGATGGGGAAGTTTGTGAAATGAGCCTATCTTAGAGATAAGACTTATAAGGAAATATCAACTGGGAGTTAGATAGTGAGTTTAAAGTTCTATGGAGGAGACCAGGCTTGAGACATATGTGAATGTCTTTAAGAAGAATATTTAAAACAATGGAATTGGACAAGATACAAAGTGAATAAGGATAGAAAAAATAAAAAACCAGGTTCCTAGAACTGAACTTTGGAGCATTCACCTTTTAGATGTCCTTTATTTTATTTTACTTTTTCCATTTATTTTTATTAGTTGGAGGCTAATTACTTTACAATATTGTAGTGGTTTTTGTCATACATCGACATGAATCAGCCATGGATTTACATGTATTCCCCATCCCGATCCCCCCTCCCACCTCCCTCTCCACCCGATTCCTCTGGGTCTAGCCAGGACATGGAAGCAACTTGGATGTCCTTTAGATGACTAAGAGAAATCTGCAAATTATCTGAGTAGGAATAGGGAGAGAGGTAGGAGGAAAACACATAAACACAGCAGGCAAAAATAAATATTTAGAGGCATTTGTTTTGATCTCTTTTATCAATGGTAAAGAAGAATTTTCTTCAGAACCTGTTTTAAATCTTTCAAATGTTTCTTATTGTTTCACTAAAGATAGTTGTTTCCTATTCAAATTAGTAAGCATTATATAGATATATCTGGGCTTCCCAGGTGGCACAGTGGTAAAGAATCCACCTGCCAATGCAGGAGACAGCAGATGTGCATTTGATCCCTGGGTCAGGAAGATTCCCTGGAGTAGGAATTGGCAACTCACTCAAGTATTCTTACCTGGGAAATCCCATGGACAGAGGAGCCTGGTAGGCGACAGTTCCTGGGTAGCAGAGTCGGACACGACTGAGCATGCATGCACACTTGCATATATATTCAATCATTAATTTCAGACACGATTCAAATTGGAATAGGCTATAACATAAACATAATAGTTGAGAAAAAAACTGTATCATAAGCAATTAAATTAATATTTAAAATTGAATCATGTAATAGTTAATAATTTTGAAAAAAGTGGCTTTTATAGGCTATGTGAACAATATTGTTAAAACTTTTCATATCCCATGTAATAAATACAGCTCTGACTTTTATCTAATTCACAAATATTCATATAGATTAAAAATTTAACATAAAATAAATATGAAATCTACAAAAACACTGCAAGTTAAACTTTATTTTCCCTGAAAAACTGGCCCCCAAAATGTTGTTGCTAATATTAAAAAATATCAAATATGTGCTAAATATGCAACCAAAAGGCACATATTTATGGATGATGAATTTCCTTAATTGGAAACTAGAACAAGGACTAATAATAAGAAGGTCAATCCCAATGAAAATCTGGAAAAAGTAACATGTGCTTAACATTAGCCACAAAATTTCATCACAAGGTAAATACAGAACTTCTATGAAATATAGCACATATTCTGCCTGAAAGACCTCAAAAAGAGATAAATATCTGTGGAGGAATAGTCAGTTTTTAACAGGAATATTCACCTCCTTGAAGACAAAAATAATCCAAAATTAATATAATTATTTAAGACATTACAGAAAGAAATTCCTTGGAAGTCTTTAAAAATATGGATAAGGTAAGTTTGAAGTTAGTATGGAAAAATGAATATCTGTAAATGGCAAAAATAATTTTAAAAATGAGGAAGAATTTCCTTTATCAGATTAAAAACTGACTGACTATAATAAAGTAATTGTGAATAAATGTTAAACAGTTTGTGGTATTTCTAAACATAGAGTATTATGTGCTGTCACAGGAGTAGGCCATTTTATCAATGCTAAAACTAAGAAGGGCAGAAAGAGATTCAAATCATAAAAAACAGTATAACAAATTATGAAGTATAAAGTTTAGTGCTTTGAAAAAAATGAAAAAGTTCCTATAAGATGTTAGAATAATTGTCAATATTTCTGGGAGAAAGAGACTCATACATATAATTATATACAGAAATAAATTACATATAGGTTAGAAGTCAAAGGTTAAAAGTGAAACAATAAACATTTTTTTAAAGAATTTTTTGTTGTGGACCATTTTGAATGTCTTTATTGAATTTTTTACAATATTGCTTCTGTTTTATGTCTTGGGTTTTTGGCCACGAGGCATGTGTGGTCTTAGCTCCCCAACCAGGGATCAAACTTATAACCTATGCCTTGGAAAGCCAAGTTTCAACCACTGGGCCACCAGGGAAGCCCCAACAATAAACATTTTTAAGGGATATACCATATACCTAGTATTAAAGAGACCTTATCAAGAAATGCAGAGCATAAAAGTAAAGAAATGTCTATTTGTCTCCATTATCTTTACACCCTAAGAACTCACTAGAGACAGTTTTGAGGCTGTCTTATAGCCAGTGAGCTTCTCAGCCACAAGCAGGGTGTACAGGATTCTGCTTGACTGTTTCCTTTATAATTAGGAAACATTTGCACTGGAATTGTTAATAAAAAATGAGAGTGAGAGTGAGGGATGGAGAGAGAGAGACTTCCTTCTATCAACTATAGCCTCAAATTAAATTCTATCCCCCAAACAAACTCAATTCCAGGCTCTGTATTTGCCACTAAAACAGCTCCACTGAACTTTAGCCCCCACCCACATACAAAAAAGTAAAGAAAACAGGACCTAAAAGAGAATCTTGCTTTATTAGCAGTAAAATTCCTAATCCACTGGTGCTCTGTGTTGTGGGTTTATTGATCTTCAAATGGCTCTGCCCTTTCTTTCAGGTGATCTGTTTTACCCAGACCACATTTGGATGATATTCTCTGTATCGCTTCTGTTCGTGATATTGTTTTTGACTATTGTCCTCTCTTGTCAATGTTTCACAAAAGGAGATAACTGCTGCAACGAGTGTGGAGTCATTAAAGGAATCTCTCTTAATGTGATGTGTAAGTCACATGGGGTGTTCAGGCAAAACTGTACAACATTTGTCAATTATGCCAATCATAGGAAGATTTAGAGCTTGTTTCTCACTTTAGAAATGTTGAACTTCACATCTCCTAATTAGGAACTTCCCAGGACAATGCTGTTTTAGGAAGGAGGTCAGTATAGATGTTTCCTGAGTTGTTCGGACCCACAGTTAGTTCTATGCCCTCAAGGTAAGGGCTTTCTCTCTTAAGTAAATATTCAATCAACATGAAGTGAATCCAGTGTCTGCCTCACTCAAAATCACTTTGTGATGGATGAATCCTGTGAGTCTTGCTCTAGAATACACTTAATTTGATGATAGTCTTTTTGCTTATATAAGTTCTTATTAACTTTCAAGATATCACCTCCTTTTCAGAGCTTAAATAATGTCAACATGAAAAAGAGATAGGTCTCTAAATCAACAAGCCCTTTACAACCAGACTCTTCCATCCGGTTTTGTGGTTAAACTGAATGAATGTATCATCCTTCTGAGTGAACATATCACTGAACGATAGTGACCCATTAGGTAAAAAGACATAGAACAATTTTAAAAACATTTCTTTTCCCAACTTATGTCCAGGCAAAATAGATTCTATATAGATGAGTAAGCTGCTAGATGGGGGATGTGAATCTAGCTATTGACTCTAGATAATTTTAAAGGAGATGAGTCAAAGGAGAAGATATAATCTATCGGACCCATTTCCCTACCTAATCCATAAAACCCTGTACCACATTTATTGGGTGCCTACATTATGCTAGGGATTGTATCAATAACATTCATTTTACCAAAGTCACCTAAATTAATCCTAAAGGCAGTGCTTTTATTGTCACCATTTTATAGATGAAAATGTCACAAATCACAGCTTGTAAATGATAGAGACAAGACTGGAAGGCAGATGTCTGTGGTTCCAACCCTCATGCTCTGGTCATCATGCTTATTTGCAGTAACTGGTTTCAGGTTTCTGCTTGCACACCTTAATGATTGAGGAGGTTGTTATCTCAGGAAACATGCCTATTCCATAGTCACCATGGGAACTTTCTTCATTTTGGAAATAAAATCTATTGTTCCATGATTTCTACCAATTATATCACAATGAGTGGCTCTTCTCTGCCTTCCCCAGAGAAGACTTTTAAAGACTTGAGGTCATAATTTTACTTCAGTTGAGCTTCTTTGAGGAGTATCTCATTACTTCTGGTTATTTTCTTCTGGAAATTGATAGAGATCAAAGAATAAATGCATAATTATTTTAGTAGTATACGGTAACACTTTAATTATCTCTGCTAAACTTGTAGAAATAAGCCCCTTGACAGGGAAATTAAAGCTGAGGGGTTTAAAGTGTGTTTGCTTTTTTCAGTCACTTCAGTGTCACCATTGCTCCATCTGTCTAATCTCACAACCCTCAGAACGCCCAGAAATCTAATGAAGATCCCAGGACATCTGTCCGGTTCCCCCAGATTACTTCAGTGCTAGACTAGGTGGTGAGAATTAGAGGAAAAAACTCCTCTTAGTTCTGCTGGGTCCATAAGTCCAGTTTTACTAGGGTCAGCCACCAGCCACAAAGCAAACTCACATCCTAGCCCTACATAGGTTGAGTGGGCATGAAGCAATGACTATGCTTTTTCTGATAATGGTCCTTAGGTCAATGGTAACCCACATTCCTGCATTCCTCTTTCATTAATATAAACTCTCTCTGTTCTAGTGTTCCCATGTGACTGCCATGGTTGGTTTCGCCCAAGCGTCATTCAATTACTGACTTGTTTAGTCTTTTTTGGACTGCTCATTATATATCTGAAGTTCCGGAGACGAGGTAAATGGGCTTAATCACAGTGACTACTACTAAGAGCTTAACAGATCTCCTTTCCCTGGATATCTGTTTTCTTGGTGTTTAGCAAGAGCTGTATGACTTTTTCCTCATAACCAGGAAGATCAACAGTTTAGGTGACATCTCAGAGGACCAAATTCTGACACTGATTATTGTGGGTGTCAAAGACTGGAGCTGCTTTGGCCACCACCAGTGTTTTCAACTACACTTAAGGACATAACTCCTTCTGCTATTAGGAATAAGAAGCGTTCTGGTTTCAGAAAATATGACTGCATCCAGTCACTAATTTACTATGCCATTGTTGGTGTACCTTCATGACTCTAGGTCAAAGTTTCTTATCTATTTGAGGCTTAGAGTCTACTTTGAAAATATAATGTTAGTATTAATCCAATTGCAATGCTCACATATACCTCTTAAATCTGCATGCAGTTTCAGGAAGCTTATGAAATACTGAATTCTTTCCTTAGGCTTCTCTGGTAGCTCAGTTGGCAAAGAATCCACCTGCAATGCTGGAGACCTTGGTTCAATTTCTGGGTTGGGAAGATCCCCTGGATAAGGGAGAGGCTACCCACTCTAGTATTCCAGCCTGGAGAGTTCCATGGACTGTATAGTCCATGGGGTCGCAAAGAATCAGACACAACTGAGCGAATTTACTTTCTTTCCTTTGACTATTATGAAATATGGTTATCATTTAGAGGTGAAATTGATAAACTAATAAAATGATTTTATTATATATTATATTAGTTAATATATATATATTTTTTAGCACTTGGCAATTCATAATTTAGAGATTTCTAAGGAATATGTATATATGAGATAATTGCCATCTAATCAAGGCAAAGAAACCCTTTATTTTACTTGAGGCATTCTTGTCAAACCACAGAAGAGAATTTTAGAGAATTAGGGTGGTCACTAGTAGAACTTTCTCGGTTCCCTCTCCTCCCTTCCTCAAGGCTTCCTTCCTAGGCAGCCTTAAACCACAACATGCACAGTCCTATATTTCTAATCTGTCCACTGAAAATTGCAAACCTTGCCTCAGAAGTTATCAAATCAATGGATGGAAAGACCCTACTTTCTATTATGAAGAGGAAAATTAATGTTTGTTTAAACAAACCAAGCACTTGAATATGATGTTTGAGAAAAATAGTCCACCTAAGACAAATTCCTCTAGACTTCTTAATTTGAACTAAGTCAAAACACTTACTCCTAAGGATTCTGTAAACATAGACATGAGGAGCCAACAGACCAGGGTACAGACCAATTGAGTCTTTAAAAGAGCTGCCCAAGGAAATATAAATTATTTCTGATTGTAAAGGTTTTTTTCCCTCCTCAAGTATAATGATCACCTATCTGTGGTCAGCAATTTCTTTTAAATAAATACTTAGGAGTTAAACTAGATCATATGTTGCTGTTGTTTAGTTGCTCAGTCATGTCTGACTCTTTTGTGACCCCATGGACTCGAGCCCACCAGACTCTTCTCTCAGTGGTATTTTCTAGGCAAAAATACTGGAGTGGGTTGCCATCTCTTCCCCACTCAGGGATCGAACACATGTCTGCTGCTTTGGCAGGCAGATTCTTTACTACTGAGCAACCAGGGAAGCACTGAATCATGTGTTAAGTGAATTTTTTTAACTTTATAAGAAACCACTAAACTGTGTGTGCTATTTTACACATCACCTACAATGGATAAGAGAACATTTATTCCTCATGTTTTCCACTTTGGGTTTCCCTCAAACTTTCTAATTTTAGCTTAGTGTATTCAGTGGTATCTCATCTCAGTTTTAATTTGCTCTTCCTGAGCATTTCATATAAGTGGAATCGAATGATATTCACTCATCTTTGATTGACTCCTTTCACTTAGCATAATGTTTTAAAGGTCTATTCATATTTTAATATGTATTAATTCTTCATTCCTTTCTATTGCTGAATAATATTCCATCATATAAATATAGAACATTTTGTTCATTCACTGATCAGTTACTAATGCTTCTTGGTTTGTTTCCAATTTTGATTATTATTAATAATTCCATTATGAGTATTTGAGTATAATATTTTGAGTGGATATATGTCTTCATTTCTCTCAGATATACACCTAGGAATGCAATTGCTGGATCACATTAATTCTCTGTTTCACATTTTTAAATAACTGCCAAAATATTTTTCAAATTGGCTTTACTATTTGAAATTCTCACCACCACTGTGTGAGGGTTCCACTTCTACATATTCTCACCAACACTTATTATTGTATATCTTTCACTATTAGCCATAGAGTATGTACATTCATTTGTTGAGCTCAAGCATTGCTCTATATGATTTTTTATTTTCAATTCTCTACTCAAAATGGATTGGAGATCTAAATGTAAGATCAGAAACTATAAAACTCCTAGAGGAGAACATAGGCAAAACACTCTCCGACATAAACCACAGCAGGATCCTCTATGACCCACCTCCCAGAATATTGGAAATAAAAGCAAAAATAAACAAATGGGACCTAATTAAAATTAAAAGCTTCTGCACAACAAAGGAAACTATAAGCAAAGTGAAAAGACAACCTTCAGAATGGGAGAAAATAATAACAAATGAAGCAACAGACAAAGAATTAATCTCAAAAATATACAAACAACTCCTGCAGCTCAATTCCAGAAAAATAAAAGACCCAATCAAAAAGTGGGCCAAAGAACTAAAGAGACATTTCTCCAAAGAAGACATACAGATGGCTAACAAACACATGAAAAGATGTTCAACATCACTCATTATCAGAGAAATGCAAATCAAAACCACAATGAGGTACCATTACATGCCAGTCAGAAGGGCTGCTATCCAAAAGTCTACAAGCAATAAATGCTGGAGAGGGTGTGGAGAAAAGGGAATCTTCTTACACTGTTGGTGGAAATGCAAACTAGTACAGCCACTATGGAGAACAGTGTGGAGATTCCTTAAAAAACTGGAAATAGAACTGCCATATGACCCAGTAATACCACTCCTGGGCATACACACTGAGGAAACCAGATCTGAAAGAGACACGTGCACCCCAATGTTCATCGCAGCACTGTTTATAATAGCCAGGACATAGAAGCAACCTAGATGCCCATCAGCAGACGAATGGATAAGAAAGCTGTGGTACGTATACACAACGGAATATTAGTCAGCCATTAAAAAGAATACATTTGAATCAGTTCTAATGAGGTGGATGAAACTGGAGCCTATTATACAGAATGAAGTAAGCCAGAAAGAAAAACATCAATACAGTATACTAACACATATATATGGAATTTAGAAAGATGGTAAAGATAACCCTGTATGCAAGACAGCAAGAGAAACACAGATATATTGAACAGTCTTTTGGACCCTGTGGGAGAGGGCGAGGGAGGGATGACATGGGAGAATGATATTGAAACATGTAAATTATCATATGTGAAACAAATCGCCAGTCCAGGTTTGATGCATGATACAGGATGCTTGGAGCTGGTGCACTGGGATGATCCAGAGGAATGGGATGGGGAGGGAGTTGGGAGGGGGGTTCAGGATGGGGAGCACATGTACACCCATGGTGGATTCAAGTTAATGTATGGCAAAACCAATATAATGTTGTAAAGTAAAATAAATAAATTAAAAGAAACAAACAAACAAAAAAGACAAGGGGGAAGTGGACTTTGAGAGTCAAAGGTGAAATAGACTGACATAGCCATGAACTCACCCCTTTTGCCTAAGTCCACCCAGATTTTCTCTTGTGTAGAAGAGTTTGTAACTCTAACATAGGGAATTCATGAGATCACAAAAACTGCCATATCATCATTGGGTAATGTCAGTTCAGTCATAGCCCTCTCTGAAACCAGACTCCAGAACTGTGAGAAGTAAATTTCTATTGTTTAAAAGCTAAAAAAAAAAAATTCTCTAATAAGCAAAGATGTTGAAGAGATTTTCTTGTACTTATCAACTATTTGCATATTTTCTTTGGATAAATATCTAAATCATTTGCCAATTTTTAAATTGTGTTACTTGTCTTTTAACTGTTGAGTTGTCTTTCTTTATATATTCTGGATACACAGGCTTTACCAGATACATGACTTGCTTCTGCTTTCCACATTCTGTAGGTTATCCTTTTGTTTCCAAAAAGTGTTCTTTTCCCTTTTTTCTTTCTTTTTTTTTGTGTGTGGTCATACTACACAGCTTGTGGTATCTTAGTTCCCTGAAAAGGGATTGAACCTGGGTCCACAGCAGAGAAAGCGCCAAGTCCTAACCACTAGACCACCAGGGAATTCCCCCTGATGATGCTATGTGAGGCACAAAAGTTTTTCCAACTTACCACAGATTTAGTATCTTAAAACAACATACATTTATTATCTTACAGTTCTAGAGGTCAAAAGTCTGCATTGGATTTCACTGGGCTAAATCCAATATGTCACAAAACCTGCAATTCCTTCAGAAGGTCTAGGGAGAATTCATTTTCTTGCCTTTTACAGTTTCTAGAGTTGCATTCCTTGCATTTCTTGGTTAATGGATTATTTCCTACATTTTCAAAGACAGTAGAAATACATTTAAAAACTCTCTCAGCTGTATCTTCATATTGTCTTCTCCTCTGTGTATACAGTAAACTTCTGCCTACCTCTAAGAGTACTTGTGATTGAATTGGGCCCACCCAGGTAATCCAGGATAATATTGCCACCTTGAGATTCATAACTTAATGACATTTCTAAATGCTCTTTTATCACATAAGGTACCATACATAAGTTCCATGGGTTATCCTTGTTCAGTCGCTAAGTCATGTCCAACTCTTTGTGACCCCATGGACTGCAGCATGCCAGACTTCCGTGCCCTTCACTAACTTCCAGAGTTTGCTCAAACACATATCCATTGAGTTGGTGATGCTATCCAACCATCTCATCCTCTGTCGTCCCCTTCTCCACTTGCCCTCAATATTTCTCACCATCAGGGTCTTTTCTAATGAGTTGGCTCTTCCCATCAGGTGGCCAAAGGATTGGAGCTTCAACTTCAGTGGATATTCAAGACTGATTTCCTTTAGGATTGACTGGTTTGATCACCTTGTCCACGGGACTCTCAAGAGTCTGCTCCAATACCACCGTTCAAAAGCATCAATTCTTTGGCGCTCAGCCTTCTTTACGGTTCAACTCTCACATCCATACATGACTACTGGAAAAACCATAAGCTTTGACTTATGACTTATGGACCTTTGTCTGCAAAGTGATGTCTCTGCTTTTTAATATGCTGTCTAGGTTTGTCATAGCTTTTCTTCCAAGGAGCAAACATCTTTTAATTTCATGGCTGCAGACACCATCTGAGTGATTTTGGAATGCAAGAAAATAAAATCTGTCACTGTTTCCACTTTTTCCCCATCTATTTGTCATGAAGTGATGGGACTGGATGCCATGATCTTAGTTTTTTGAATGCTGAGTTTTAAGCAGGCTTCTTCACTCTCCTCTTTCACCTTCATCAAGTGGTTCTTTAGCTCCTCTTTCCTTTCTTCCATTAGAGTGGTATCATCTGCATATCTGAGGTTGTTGTTATTTCCCCTGTAACCTTTATTCCAGCTTGTAATTAGATATTGAATATCTTTGGGATTCATTTTTCAGTGTAGAGAATCTCATGGACAGAGGAGCCTGGCAGGCTACAGTCCATGGGGTCACAAGAGTCAGACATGATTTAGCGACTAAACTACCTCCACACATGTGCTACCCTTCATGAGGGAAGAATGTCTCCAAAAACAAAGCTGTAAGCCTAGAAGCTAGAGTCATGAATCATACGTGTTTATCCTCAAGACTTGAAACCTAAAGGAGTTTTCCCAGTTGACCTTTGAAGTTACTTGGGAGCAGTGACTACTTTTTCCTTTTCATTTTCTTCACAATTCAATGAGAATGGATAAATATTCTCCTATACCTGTTGCACCATTATATTTTAGGAGTAAATAATTGGTTTTCTAGTTCCATGGTCCCAAGGATAAAAGGCTTCCTTTGTGGCTCAGCTAGTAAAGAATCTGCCTGCAATGTGGGAGACCTGGGTTCAACCCCTGGGTTGGGAGATTCCCTGGAGAAAGGAAAGGCTACCCACTCCAGTATCCTGGCCTGAAGAAGTCCATGGACTGTATAGTCCATGGGATCTCAAAGAGTCGGACACAACTGAGTGACTTGCACTTATACTTTTCAAAGATGAAGAGGAATGTTGCCATAGTGTGGGTTATACTTACAAAGCCTCACTCCCGAATTTATTTAGATTGTTGGTCAATTTTTGTTCCTTAAAGTTGTGGGACTGAGGTCCCATTTCCTTATCAGCTGTCAGCCCGAGGATTGCAGCCTGCCTGGATTTCTTCACATTCTTTCCATGTGGCTCTTCCAGCAAGGGTGGGTCAAGTCCATTTCATCATTTGACTCTCTCTAACCTTGCATTCTGCCACATCTCTCTGACTTCAGTCTTAAAAAGTCTCTGATTTAAGGACTCATATAACTATATTGGATCTGCATGAATAAACTTGAATAATCTCCCTATGATAAGGTTGATAACCTTAATTACCTCTGCAAAGTTTCTATTTCCATGGAATGTAACATATTCACAAGTTCCAGGTATTGGGACACAGATGCTTTTAGGGGCCTATTCTGTCTACAACAGTCTAGCTCCCAAAGATTCACATTCCTCCCAAACATAAAAGCCATTCTGTTCATCCAAAGGTTTCATCTTATAAACTCAACACAAAGTTGATAAGAAAGAAGATTATAAAAAAAAGTGTTAATGAATCTATTTTATATAGTTATTGTAAGGATTAACTGAATTAATCCATTTAAGTGGTAGAACAATGACTTCTAAAGAATAAATTTTCAGCATTAGTAATATTAAATGTTATTTCTTGAATATTCTCTCCCCCTAATTCACAACTCAACTAATTTTTTTTTTCAGTCTCTATTTCAGATCCTTTGTTTCCCTTGTACAATGACTGGATGCGGGATATGGCAATGCTTATAGCTTGTCCAATGGCATTTTTCAGTCTATTAATCATTGTTTTAAGCATGAAGCTAAGAGGTAAGTGGGTGGGGAGAGTCTTGACTCTGAGGCTATCATTTTTCCAGAAATTATTTATTTTCTATTCCCTGAAAAGGCCCACTTCCCACCTGGTTATCAGCCCAAGGTTCATCCTGCTTCCAGAGAAAAGACAAAGGCCGAAATCTATGTTTTGTGAAGTTATACATTAACATACTATGGTTACTTAATAACTAAGGATAAGTTATAGCCCTTCAAGTGTGCAACCAAAGAGTGACTCAAGCTTCTTTTGCCCTTTCTTTTGGCTAGTAACACACAGAATCATAGCTGTGCTTCTCGGACTTATTACCCTTCTCCTGTCATATGTGGCAATTTTTTTGTTGACATCTCTATCTCCAGCACCCCCCCCCAAAAAAAACACAATACATGTCTCTCCAAGCACATCTTGTGACATTGCTTTCCACATAGATCAATTTAACCTGCTCTTATACATTATTCCATTCACTGAAAGTTACTAAGACTTGATACTACTTGAATATTAACTCTGTTCATTCACCCTGTTTTCTTGAACAAATCTCACCATTTCTCCATCTTTGTTCACCCAAAGAATCCCAAGCAATAGGTATTAAGCTAGAGATGTATCTGATTTTGTTGCTAAAATTTTGTTTCTATTATAAATGAAGGCCAAGAAACCTCAGATAATGATCTTCCCTTCAAAATTTCCTGTAATCAGATTGCAACTCAAAAGCCACAAGTAATCATCATTGCTTTCTTAGTATAATTTTTTTCAAAACATTAAATGAACATTGACATTCAATGTGTATCACTAGATGTCAGAAGAAACAGTAATGTATATAGAATGCTGAGGACAAAATGAGCTTTGAGCCTACAATTTTGTCCATTTCAAATAATTTCTCATAAGTAAAAATGAAAATTAGTCAAGGACTTACAGAATGTACCATTACTGTAGACTCTATGAAAATTATCTAAGAAAAAAATTTCCCCAAATGGAAATGACAATGTCTAAAATATTAGGTGATAATAAATAAGAAATATGAAAAACAACTTAATCAATAAAATATTAATTTAACAATAAATAGTTATATTATGGTTGCAAAATAATGACTACTTAAATAAAGTAATTTGAAAATATATTAATAACCTAGTTGCTGAACATCAGTGGTTGCTAATATCACAGAAAGAGAAACCACCAGAGATTATATTATTCTGCATGTTAAGCACAAAATACTACTTATGATGTGTGTTCTTGGCAAAAAAAAAAAGGAAGCAAAAGAAACCTGAATCAGATTAAACCTCCCTTTTAACCTCCAATTTACAGGACATAAAGAACAAGATGAATACACTATACAAAGTGACAGAGATGCAATCCACCAACTGTAGAAATGAAAAACACTACAGAACAAATGAGAAAAATTCTTCAATAATTATGTTGCAAACGTATACAACTTCAGTGTAATCCCTACCAATGTCTCAATGAAAGTTTCTACAAAGATAAAAAATCTGTCAATGCTTCCACCTTTTGCTCTTGTATTTGCCATGAAGTGATGGAGCCAGATGCCATGAACTTAGTTGTTTTTTTTTTTGTTTGTTTGTTTTAATATTTGGCTTTAAGTCAGCATTTTCACTCTCCTCCTTCACCCTCATCAAGAGGTTCTTTACTTCCTCTTCACTTTCTGCCATTAGAGTGATATCATCCACATATCTGAGGTTGTTGATATTTCTCCTGGCAATCTTGATTCCATCTTGTAACTCATCCAACCCGGCATTTCTCACGATGTGCTCTGCATATAAGTCAAATAAACATGGTGACAATAAACAGCCTTGTCAAACTCCTTTCTCAATCCTGAACCAGTCAGTTGTTCCATACAAGGTTCTAACTCTTACTTCTTGATCAGCGTACATATACGAGAAGATGCTGAACATCATAAATTATGAGGGAATTGTAAGTGAAAACAACCATGAGATAACACTATACACTGTTAAGAGGGGATAATATCCAAAACTGGCTTTTCAAAACTGGCTCAGTGGTAAACAATCAGCGTGCCAACACAGGAGATTCAGGAGGCGTGGATTCGATCACTGGGTCGGGAAGATCCCCTGGAGAAGGAAATGGTAACCCATTCCAGTATTCTTACCTGAAAAATTCCATGGACAGAGGAGTCCAGTGGGCGATAGTCCATGGGATCATAAAGAGCTGGACGTGACTGAGTGACTGAGCATGGGATATCCAAAACACTAACAACACCAAATGTGTTGACCATGGGGAACAAAAGGAATTCTCATTCACTGCTGGAGAGAAATGCAAAAAGGTACATCCACTTTGGACAGTTAAGTGGTTTCTTACAAAAATAGAATACTCTTACCATATGATATAGTCAAAGCTATGGTTTTTCCAGTAGTTATGTACAGATGTGAGAACTGGACCATAAAAAAGGCTGAGCAGTGAAGAATTGATGCTTTTGAACTGTGGTGTTGGAGAGGACTCTTGAGAGTCCCTTGGACTGCAAGGAGATCCAACCAGTCAATCCTAAGGGAAATCAATCCTGAATATTCATTGGAGGGACTGATACTGATGCTGAAGCTCCAATACTTTGGCCACCTGATAGGAAGAGCCAACTAATTGGAAAAAGACCTTGATGCTGGGAAAGTTGAAGGCAGGAGGAGAAGAGGATGACAGAGAACGAGATGGTTAAATGACATCACTGACTCAATGGACGTGAGCTCTACCCTCTAACTCCTAACAAATGATCAGTTCTCCATCATGATAACTTTGTCTTTTTGAGAAAATCACAGAATGAAATCATGAAGTATGTAATCTTTTAAGACTAACTTCCTCCACTCATATAAAGTTTTCGAGATTCATCAATATTGTGTATAACAATGGTATGTTTCTTTAACCCCATAAACAGTATGAAAAGGCAAAAAGATATGACACTGAAAGATGAACTTTCCAAGTCAGTAGGTGCCCAATATGCTCCCGGAGAAGAGTGGAGAAATAGTTCCAGAAAGAATGAAGAGACTGAGCCAAAGCAAAAACAACATCCAGTTGTGCATGTGGCTAGTGATGGAAGTAAAGTCCAGTGCTGTAAAGAACAGTATTACATAGGAACATGGAATGTTAGGTCCACGAATCAAGGTAACTTGGGAGTAGTCAAACAGGAGATGGCAAGAGTGAACATCGACATTTTAGGAATCAATGAATTAAAATGGGCCAGAATGGGTGAATTTAATTCAGATGACCCTTGTATCTACTACTGTGGGCAAGAATCCCTTAGAAGAAATAAAGTCATAGTTAATAAAAGAGTCTGAAATGCAGTATTTGGGTGCAATCTCAAAAATGATAGAATGATCTTTCTGCATTTCCAAAGCAAACCATTCAATATTACAGTAATCCAAGTCTATGCCCCAATCACTAATGCTGAAGAAGCTGAAGCTGAATGGTTCTATGAAGACCTACAAGACCTTCCAGAACTAATACCACAAAAAAAAAAATAAAAAAAAAAAAAAAAAAAAAAAAAAAGGATGTCCTTTCATCATAGTGGACTGGGATGCAAAAGTAGGAAATCAAGAGATGCCTGGAGTAACAGGTATGGCCAAACATACCTGTTTGGCCATACTTCATTTTGGAGTACAAAATGAAGCAGGGCAAAGGATAACAAAGTTTTGCCAAGAGAGCACACAGGTCATAGCAAACAGCTTCTTCCAACCACACAAGAGACAACTCTACATATGGTCATCACCAGATTGTCAATATAATATATTCAGATTGATTATATTCCTAGCAGCCAAAAAAGGAGAAGCTCTACACAGTCAGCAAAAAAGACCAGGAGCTGACTGTGATCATGAACTCCATATTGCCAAATCCAGACTTAAAGAAAGTAGGGAAAACCACTAGACCATTCAGGTATGACCTAAATCAAATCTCTTGAAGTGATAAATAGATTCAAGAGATTAGATCTGATAGAGTGCCTGAAAACTATGGACAGAGGTTTGTAACATTGTACATGAGGCAGTGATCTAAACCATACCCAAGAAGAAGAAACGCAAAAAGGCAAAATGGCTGTCTGAGGCAGCCTTACAAATAGCTGAGAAAAGAAGAGAAGCTAAAGGCAAAGGAGAAAAGGAAAGATATATCCATATGAATGCAAAGTTCCAAAGAATAGCAAGGAGAGATAAGAAAGCTTTCCCCAGTTTTCAATGCAAAGAAACAGAGGAAAACAATAGAAAGAGAATGACTAGAGATCTCTTCAAGAAAGTTAGAGATACCAAGGGAACATTTCATGCAACATTGGGCACAATAAAGGACAGAAATGCTGTGGACCTGACAGAAGCAGAAGATATTAAGAAGAGTTGGCAAGAATACACAGAAGAACTATACAAAGAAGATCTTTATGATCCTGATAACCACAATGGTGTGATCACTCACCTAGAGCCAGACATCCTGGAATGTGAAGTCAAGTGGGCCTTAGGAAAATCACTGTGAACAAAGCTAGTGGACGTGATGGAATTCGAGTTGAGCTATTTCAAATCCTAAAAGATGATGTTGTTAAAATGCTGCACTCAATATGCTTGCAAATTTGGAAAACTCAGCAATGGCCACAGGACTGGAAAAGGTCAGTTTTCACTCTAAACCCAAAGAAAGGCAATGCCAAAGAATGTTCATACTACCACACAGTTGCACTCATCTCACACACTAGCTAAGTAGAGCTCAAGATTTCCCAAGCTAGATTTCAATAGCACCTGAACCAAGAATTTCCAGATGTTCAAGCTGATTTTAGAAAAGGCAGAGGAACCAGAGACCAAATTGCCAACATTTGTCAGATCATAGAAAATGCAAGAGAGTTCCAGAAAAAAATCTACTTCTGCTTCATTGACTACGCTAAAGTTTTTAACTGTATGGATTGCAACAAACTGGAAAATTCTCCAAAAGATGGGAATACCAGACCACCTTCCTTGCCTCTTGAGAAATCTGTATTCATGTCAGGAAGCAACAGTTAAAACCGTACGTGGAGCAATGGACTGGTTTCAAATTGGGAAAGGAGTACGTCAAGGCTGTATATTATCACACTGCTTATTTAACGTATATGCAGAGTTCAGTTCAGTTCAATTCAGTTCAATCGCTCAGTCGTGTATGACTCTGTGACCCCACGAATCACAGCACGCCAGGCCTCTCTGTCCATCACCAACTCCTGGAGTTTACTCAAACTCTTGCCCATCGAGTCGGTGATGCCATCCAGCCATCTCATCCTCTGTCGTCTCCTTCTCCTGCCAACAATCCCTCCTAGCATCATGTTAAATGCCAGGCTGGATGAAGAACAGGCTGGAATCAAGATTGTGGGGAGAAATATCAATAATCTCAGATATGCAGATGACACCACCCTTGTGTGGCAGAAAGCGAAGAGGAACTAAAGAGTCTTTAGATGAAGGTGAAAGAGGAGAGTGAAAAAGGCTGCTTAAAACTCAACATTCAAAAAACAAAGATTATGGCATCAGGTCTCATCACTTTATGGCAAACAGATGGGGAAACAATGGAAACTGTGACAGACTTAATTTTCTTGGACTCCAAAAACACTGCAGATGGTGACTGCAGCCATGAAATTAAAAGACACTTGCTCCTTGGAAGAAAAGCTATGACCAACCTAGATAGCATATTAAAAAGCAGAGACATTACTTTACTGACAATGGTCCATCTAGTCAGAGTTATGGTTTTTCAAGTAGTCATGTATGGATATAAGAGTTGGATCACAAAGAAAGCTCAGTGCCAAAGAATTAATGCTTTTGAACTGTGGTGTTGGAGAAAACTTTTGAGAGTCCCTTGGACTGCAAGGAGATCAATCAGTCAATCCTAAAGGAAATCAGTCCTGAATATTCATTGGAAGGACAGATGCTGAAGCTGAAACTCCACCCGATGAGAAGAACTGACTCATTGGAAAAGATCCTGATTCTGGGAAAGATTGGAAGCAGAAGGAGAAGTGGACGACAGAGGATGAGGTGTTGTATGGCATCACCGACTTGATGGACATGAGTTTGAGAAAGTTCCAGGCGTTGGTGATGGACAGGGAAGCCTGGCGTGCTGCAGTCCATTGGGTCACAAAGAGTTGGACGTGACTGAGTTTGAACTGACTGATGAACTGTGAAATGATTACCACAATCAAGCTAATTAACATATCCATTACTTCATATATTTACAATTGTGTTGACAACACTTAAGATCAACTCTCTTGGAAAATGTCAAATATACAATACAGTATCATTAAGTTCCCTCCTGGCTCAGCGGTAAAGAATCTGCCAGCAATGCAGGAGACAATGGGTTCTATCCCTGGGGCAAGAATATCCCCTGGAGAAGGAAATGGCAACCCACTCTTCCATGGACAGAGGAGCCTGGCAGGCTGCAGTCCATAGGGTTGAAAAGAGTCAGAGATGACTTAGTGACTAAACAGCAACAACAATCATTAACTATACTCAGCATTCTGTGCACTAGGGCTGCAGGATTTTTTATCCTGCATTTCCAAACCTTTGTACCCTTTAACTGACATCGTTCCACTTTCCCCACACTGCTGGTGCCTAGCAAGAACCATTCTACTCTCTACTTTTATGAGT